TCAGTAACTGCTTCCACCAGTGCCCAGAGTCACTTTGTCTGTACTTCTGCAGATGATGTTTGCTCATTCCTGAGTGCTGAGCTGCCCCATTCCCTGAGCATCCTCCCCACTTTTCCCTTCTGCCAGCCCTTTCCTGTCACAGCCCTGTCCCAGTGTCCCCTCCCAGGGGCTCCTTGGGTGCTCCTGCTGTGGCTGCAAGTGGGGAACTGGGAATCAGCCCTGGGAACATCCCTGTGTAGAGAACCCCTGTGTGTTAATTCTGCTCTCACAGGAAAAGACAAACCACCACTACTGGGGTTTCCATAAGCACTGTATCAGAAGGAAAAGAAAATCAGAATTGGTGGCAACCAGGAGGAAATTTTGTCCACTTGTAAACAAGTGACATATTTTGGTATACCTGAAAGCCTCTAATTTATGTCTGCCATTAAAAAGTGGCAGTTAATTAGCCTTCTCTTCCAGAGAAATAAGGTATGTAAATAACTTACCTTGCTCAATAATTAAACAGTAGCTATTGATAAAGTGACATTTATAATAGCACAACCGTGTACTATCCTGCCTCGTACCTCAAACAAAAATAAGAATGTGTTTTCTGGTACCAGAGAACAATTCTGTCATCCCAACCTTGGCTGCAAATTCCCATTGCCTTGCACAGGAGGTCCAGCCTTGTCCTCACAGTGTGAAGGCTGGAAGGCTCCAGCCTCTGGACCCTGTGCCAATTCTGACCTCAGGAAATTAGCATCTAAACAGTGGCACTTGGCTCAGGAATCGCTGGAGGATCCCAAACCTCTCAGTAGAATAATTGTTAAAGTAAAAGCACATACATAAATATAAAAACGTGCAAAAATCTGTCTTTGCAAAAGGTATTTCACTGTGACATATCCAGAATTAATAAAAGGAGATTTCAACAGGAGAGATGCCAAATGCCTTGTACAGCTCCAGCAGAGAGAATCCATTGTATATCCAATCCTTACACACTCACAGCCCTGGAAAATTATATGGAAAGCCATCTCCTAGTGAGGTAGAGCAAATTCTTCACAAGCCTTAAGACATATGAGGGTTTTTTCTGGCTTTTTCTTTCCCCTTTTCTCCTTGTTGAGAGCATCACTGATCACAAAATACCACTTTGTTTTTTCTACTTAACATGTAGCTACCAACTGAGAGAGATTTGAAAACAGACTCAGGAAGGGGTTGGGTCTCATCAACCCTACATCCCCCCAAAATTCTACTGCCTGGTTTTACCCTTTTATCTCCAAGGTAGCACTCAAATATTTCCAGCCTTTTTCATGGCTCTTAAGAGTCAAATCTCAAACCAAAGCACATATTTGCTGCATTCACACCTCCTAAGGTGTCGTGGGATGTTCCTCAGCAATTCCACCTGCTGTTTAGGGTTCCTCAATGAAGTTCTGCTGCTTCCATTTGGGGCCAGATACAACATCAGATTTTTTTTTTTTAATTCTTCTTTAATAAATTCTTGATTATTTTTCTGACCATTTACTTCTTGGGTATAGGACTTAATGAGAGTTCCATGATCAAAATGAGAGTTTAAGACATTGTTTCTTTCTTTGCTGGGGTCACTCATTTGGATTTATGCCATGGCTTCTCCTCTTCTGCCTTTGGGCATCAGCTCTCTTTTTCTCAATTACAAATATACATCACTTCTACCTTAATTGACCATGGCAGCATTTTCCTTTCCCTTATCTGAGTTTGGCCAGGGAATGCTGGTGGCACACTGGGCTTCATAACTTCTTGATTTGCTGTTAATGTCCTCTCTCAGTCAGAGCTTGAGCTGAGGCACAGAAAAAGCAAAACACCTCTTGACTCCAGTGAGCATCAAATCAAACTCAAGTGTCTATTTTGTTTTCATTCCAAGTATTAAAACTTCCAGGAGACACAGACCTCCCAGACAGGATTATGCCATTTTTATCTATAAAAATAAAAATCAAGCATCCCTTCCTTATTTACTGTCTGGTCCTAATACAGAGTATTTGTGTCCCTGCCTCATGCAGACCCCACTGTCTGGCTGCACCACAAATTTCATCCAAGTCCTCTCACCTCTGTTTAACTCCAGTCACTGCACTTTATCTACAGCTTTCTCCATATTCAGTGTATTTCCAATGCTAAGAAAGTCCAAAAGCTAATCATTTCACCCTTTCAGACAAGTTAATTTATCCATCTTTTGTGCCATGAAAGATCCCATTGTCTCTGTCACATGGTGTGTTCCTCAGAAATTATGCATATTTGTAGGTTTTGGCAGTTTCTGAAGCATTAGTGTGCATGGATTTTTTTTCTTTTTTTCTGTGTTATTTCATATGTAACTGTTTATAAGGAAAAAAAATTGCTGAGCACAATTCAGCAGCATTAGGAATAAAGTCTAGGAATATAAAATCCCCCTTTTTTAAAAAAAATCAAAGCTGAACGTATTTATTTATTATGTATTTTTTTGGCTTTTAAGCACTGGTAATAATTATTTGTCAATTGTAACAAATTTTCCAGATGGAAACTAAGCATATTAGTATCACCTATTTGCTAGAGTCAGGATGAGAGACAAGTACTACACAGACACCAGAAATCAGGCTATTGAGATCATCCCAGTATATTTCTCTTCTGCACCATTTTTGTGTTACTAAAAATAAAATACCAATACCTGCTACTTTTTCTAGACTAAAAAGCAATTTATCTCTGTTATGCATAAGCAGACTTGGGAATTACTGCTTTTTATTATCCAAATATTTAGCATTGCCATCCTCATTTCCCTTTAATGGAAAATAGTATCATTGGTGTGCTAAGATGGGAAATGCTTAAAAAAAAAAAAAGTAATTACAAACTATTCACTGTTCAGTATTTACCACATATTATGGCACTTACTGCAGGTTTTTTAGGAACCAGTTTCAGGAATGTAAAGCACTTTTAAGCATATTTTTGTGTCACTGTGTATTCTTTCCACATTTGTTAGAGGAGTTCTGACCACGTCTCATGGATCAGCATCCACCCCGGTGGCCAGGGCTGCTGATGAGAACAGGAACCTGCAGAGTTAAAGGTTCCCACTCAGCTGGGATTTAGGAATCAGCCTCTTGTAAGGGATCCACAGACTGACCCCAAAACCATTCATCACGTGGACAGCTACTGTCCAGAGCACTGTTTGCCTAACATGATGTGGGTGCTGCCACAGCTCATAGAAATATTAACTTTTAAAGACAAAATCCCCAACCGTATCTTTGAAGTGGGCTAAGAAATCCACAATAACAGCAGTAGAGTGATTTATGCTTTCATCTCAGTGTAATCATTGCCATCTTACCAAACCCATACTTTAAAATTGTATACACATCAGATACAGTCCTTGTAGAGTTACCAATTTACCAGCCAAAAGCTGAATAGCCAGAAAGTCACAAACACAAGGTCCCTCTGCAGCAGGAGAGGGTTTAGATTAAAATTTAGCTGGCTCATCACCCCAGTTCTAAAGTCTGGTCCTGTGTTCTTCCTCCTGGCTGTGCAGCACCTTTTCTTTTCCATAGCATTAGCAGCTTGCAGACGACACAGTCAGGAAACTACTTGGAAATAATTCCTGTAGTAACAATTTATGACAGAGCCCAGCTACCACCGCCTGTTCCCTGCGTGACATCAACCTGTCCTTGAAGTTATGATTATTTATGTAACAATTGCATAGGAGAGCACAAAGAGGATGCCAGTCCACGGATTTGCAGGAATAAAAATGTCCTAAGGAACCTAAATTAAAATGCAGGCCTGTGCTAAACTGTCTGTGATCCAGGATCATTACAGAATTTGGGAATGAACTGGAAATCTGTCCTCTGTGAGATTTTTTACCAGGTTTTACTATAAAGATGGAGAAAGGATCTTCATAAATAGTTTCCTGCTCAAGAGTTACTCTGAGAACATTTCTGAAAACCATTATACGCTGCAATTTAGATTCTTTTATTTTGATTGCTTGTTGAGTTGTACCAAAAAACAACAACAACAACAACAAAAAATTAGGATGCACACAGTAAAATGTGCAATGTTTAATTTGCAGCAAATAATAAAACTCAAGCCAAACTCAGCATTTCCTTTTTCCAGAGAAAACATTACGCTGAACCTAATTTTACAGCTGTACAAACTGTTTTAAAGTAATCTGCTCAATTGGGCGAGTTAATGATATTTAATTTGACCAGGCCAAACTTTGCATGCTGTGCATTACTGGGAGCAATCCTGTGCAGTGCAAGTGTTTGTGTGATGTAAATGTCATGCTAACACCTTCCCCTCTCAGCTGGCTTCACAAAAATCCTGGTGTCATCACCTCTCTAAGGCAAACCCAAGATGACAGCAGGGAAAAAATGTTGCACAGGGTAATTCAGCAGGAATTTACCCTTTTCAATCTTTTCTGCACTCAAGTTAAACCTCTTTACATCAGTCAGCTTTTTGCCCTGGGCAATATGTTAAATATGGACTAAATTCAGTTATTGTGCTGAGTAATGTTCTCCTTCAGGTGGCCCACTTGTTTTGATGTGATTAAACGTGCAGAGTGTGTACTTAGTGCAGTGTGTGGATTCTCTTCTCTTCCCAATTCCATGTCTCCTGTTATTTCTCTCCACTACCCTAAAAATGGAGATTTTTTATTGCAGTGACCGAGTACTACCGTCATGTTTCATCTGAAAAATTGTTTATCAGACCCAAACACATAGTTTTGTAGTTTTCGTTTTGTTCAGCAAAGGGTGAAGAGTCTAAAAAGCAAAACAAATCTAGAAAAACTACAGGAGAATCAATAACTTGTGTTCGAACAAGGGCTGAGGGATTTCTAATCTGCAAGAAACAAATGGGGTGCTGGTTTGTACTTCACCTCAAAGAGCGAGCCCAGTGAAATCTATCACAATAAAAGGCAGAGCAGAGGATTTGTAAAGTTGCTGTGGAGAAAAGGGAAAATGAGAGACGCGCCAAGATTGCGGGGACCGTTCCCGGGGATGGCTGGAAGGCGAAACCCTGACGGCTTTGCTGCTTTCTCCCCACAGGTCAATGGGAAGGATTTATCCAAAGCCACCCACGAGCAGGCGGTGGAAGCGTTCAAAACCGCCAAGGAGCCCATCGTGGTGCAGGTGCTGAGGAGGGCCCCGCGCGCCAAGGCGCACGAGCCGCAGCTGGTGGACGTGGGCACCCAGACCGACATCACCTTCGAGCACATCATGGCCCTCAGCAAGATGGGCTCGCCCAGCCCTCCCGTCCCCGTGCTGGACCCCTACCTGCTGCCTGAAGAGTAAGCCATGTCTTTCTGAGCCTCAAAAAACCCCTTGTGTGGCATGTTAGGAGTTCACAACCTCACCTGACTCGCTGGTAAACATGCACTCCCAGAAGCAGCCAGGATTCATCCACCACCCAGCCATAACTCACAGCATTTTCATTTTTCCTACACATTAGCGAGACATTACTCACATGAGTAATGCCGCCGAGTCACAACACGGCCTCATAAAGCTCATTTTTTTTTGCTGGCATTTGATGGATAAAGTTATTGCATTTTGTAATTCCTCTCACTGCCTCTTTGGGTTGCTTATGTTTTAACTTTATTTTTTATGGCTGCCATAAATTCTGCAATGCTAAGAGCTGCTACATTCTGTTCCAGTGTATTAATTACTTTATTATAACCCTGCAGCGCTGTTACTCGAATAAGTTATTTCCTGGGACTAAAATGACTTACCAGTGTTGTCATGGATGTTTTAGAATCAAATTTTAATTATTGTTAATGGTAATTTGATGCTTTTTGTACTTACAAATACAAATGACAATTATCTCCTGGCGCACACGCCCCCCGCCCTCACATGCTGTTGGAGAGGCAAACAGCTCCCCAAGGAGCCCCTGCAGATTGCCTGTCATCCTGCCACACAAATCCACAGGGAGCAGGGAGTGGAAGGGATTCTGACCCTCTCAGTTGCTGTGTGTGAGACACTGATCTGCTCAAGACACAAAAATTCCTGCTTTTGAGCCGATCCTGAGCGTGGTGAGAGGCAGGAGGGGTGTGCACCCACCCTCCCAGCGTGCCTCTCCTGGGAAATGGGGTTTGGGTTCACACAGCCCTGCCTGCACCCCTGGGAAATGGGGTTTGGGTTCACACAGCCCTGCCTGCACCCCTGGGAAATGGGGTTTGGGTTCACACAGGCACGGACCCTGCACTGCCCCTGAGCACCTTTCACAGCACATTAACTCCCACACATTGAGCCAGGACTGTGTGCAGTGTCTGCTCCCCTCCTGACCCTCTGCTGATGCTGGAGGATGGTTCAGCCAATATTCCCAGCCCATTGAAAATTCAAACGCAGCAGCACGATTTAGTGGAAATACTTGACAAAAGGCTGGAGCTTTGAGCTTGCAGTGAACAAACAGCAGGGCTTGGAGCCTGTGGAGAGGACATGGTTATTCCTAGGGCCCCGACACCACCTCCCAGCCTCAGCTGCAGTAGGGGCTTTTAGTACCTCTGACTTGCCAACTGAAAAACCAGTTACACTTAGAAAATGGCAAATATTAATTCCTGGTGAATCATTTAGGAAAAAAAAATCTTCCCTGTGAGGCCCTGGCACAGGGTGCACAGAGAAGCTGTGGCTGCCCCATCCCTAGAAGTGTCCAAGGCCAGGTTGGAGCAACCTGGTCTAGTGGGAGGTGTCCCTGCCCATGGCAGGGGTGGAACAAGATTTTCCTTGAGGTGTCTTCCACCCCAAACTCTTCCATGATTTTACCGTTTCATGATTTAGGTCTCAACATGCTTGCATTATTCCAGCTTTGCCCTATCAACTTCGTATTGTTCCTCAGCCATTAGACAGATCCCAGCTGCTGGATCACCAGTGAGCTGGAGGTGTTGGTGCTCCCTCTCAGCCCTTCTCATGGTCCACACTCAGCTCTCAGGGTGTGCTGTCACCCAGCGTGTGAAAGCAGTCATTATTTCCTAGTGTTTCCTCTCACTTCTCCCAATTCCATTCACATTAATCTCTAACAACTTGACTCTGCTAGCCAATTAGCAGATGCTGTTACATAAATAGCCTCAGAATGTATCTAGTTAACAGAGAATTAAAGGGAGTTTACTTTCACTGCAGATAAAACAATCCAGCACAGAAAACAGCGATCACAAGAGTTCACACTGCTTACAACTTCCAAGGTAAAGGGGTGGAAGTGTGGGAGAGCTCAAGCAGTAAAAAGCAGCAGGCTGCCCTCCTTCAAGACATGGAATTTTCATTTAAAACACTAACTGGGATAAGTGGTGTAGCTCATAGAATTAACCACATGCAGCTCCTCGGTGTGGGGGTTAGTCCATCATCTCCCCTACAAGCTTGGAATGCATTAACAAGTTCCACTAAAGTCCTGAGTGCTGCCCTAAAAAATACCTTTTTTTTTTCCAGCCATCCAGCTGTGCATGAATACTATGACCCAAATGACTACATGGGAGGGATTCATCAAGAAATGGACCGGGATGAGTTGGAATTAGAGGTATTATTAGAGTAACTATTTCCTTTCCATACACACCTCAAGGTCTTTGATTTGTATAAAGTGAAAAGACTTTTCAAAGCAGATATTTGTGATAACATTGTTCACCAGTTGCTGATACCTTTATCACTCCATTGAGCTGTGAGCCAGGCACTGATGATCTTCAGCTAACAACATGAATAATGAAGTAATTGATTCCTTTAATTAAATTCTGTGTAAGTGTGCTGATTTAGGCTTTCTGAAAATCTGAAAGGCTCTGCTGAGTGGCAGGACCTCTTCCACAAAACCGCAGTAAAAATTTGTGAGTTTCCCTTAAATATTTCCTGGCTGAGAAACAGATGTTCCTGATCATATAATTTTGAAGTATATTAACTTTACAAGACAAGGCCAGGATAGATTTGCCACTAAAGTAAGCTGTTCCTCCCTTTTTCATTACTTAAATGACATATGTATACATTTGAAATTACAGATAATAAAAGTTGAACTACTCATGAAGGTATGCAAACCCTTTTCCCTGCCAAATCTTTAAAAATCACTTTTGGTTTTAGCTCTTGGATGTCCCATCAGAAGTTCATCTTCAGTTTTCTCATTCCTAATTTTAATAACCTGCTCCCAGCCATTCAAAGTGCAGCGCAGAAACTGTGGGGTTCTGCAAGACCCTAAAGCAGTACTGACCCAGTGAAGTGTTTTTAATTATTTGTAATAAATAGTAGCAAAATATCCCAATAGTTCTAAATACTGCCAGCAATGCCTGACCCAGCTGATCCATCCAAGATCATGAGTAAGAGAATATTTTATACCTAGCTTGCACTTCTGATTTCTTATATCCTGGTCCTGCTAACACCTACTTGTCAAAGCAAGCAGTGCTGACCTGCCTGAAATTCTGCTGAAATCATTGTGGATTTATCAACAGCTTCAGTGGGAGCAGAGTTCAGTCATTCTATGAGCACCAGGTTGTTTCCTTCTATAAAAGTGTTTGCAGGATCAAGGACTAAAACCCCATAAAAAGTTTGCAAGCTGTTCTCAAATTTTGCAGATCTGGTAGCAATTCATCTCTGTATACAAACATAAATCAAAGGCAAGATAAATTCAAAGTGCCAGTAAAACAAATGCTACTTAGCAGACTTCAAGGCCTTACTTTTCAAACAAGGGCCTTTTTTTTTTTCCCCCTCTTAAATAAAAACAAATACAATAAAGTTTTCAGTCTCAAAGGAAAATGTAGAACAAGTCAGTGTTTTCTACCGGTATCTTTCCAAAATCTACCTTTTAGGAAATCTAATATTGCAGATAAATTATAATGTTTCCATTAGAAGGTCAACCAGTTGAGCTGAAAACAGTTTAAACACACGCACTCCAGTAGCCAAACCTTAATATGCCTTAAACCACAACATTAATAATTCTGACATTGATATAGTACTTGATGGCCAAAGGTGATCAGCTCACTAACACAGGCAGATGAGCATTAGGAAAGTCTCTGTGGCCTAATAGTATTTCTTAAAAACCTCTAAAGATTCCTGTTCAAATTGTAAAGACTATGATCAATGGTAAGGTCAAAGTGCTAACAGGGACTCAACTGGCTGGTTGCTTTTTTGTTTGCCTTTTGATAGATATGTTTTAAAAGACCACAAAGGCACTGTTTCATTGACTGCAGCAGGAATGTCGAAAGTAAGAAAGCCATCAAGTCTGCCTTCTGGGTTTCTGTGTCTATAAAATGTGCTTTGAATTTAAATCAGAAGCTCCTCATCTAAACTTTTATGGTCTATAACTGACTGGTTAGTGATTTGTAACAAGCAAACAAGACAAAAAAGGTGAAATAGCCAAGTTCCCAACAAACCTCCAATGTAAATATCCATAGGAAGGAATTTATGCTGGCAGTATTGCTGAGGTGCCAAAATTGCATTCTCGGTTTTATCTCAACATTTGTCTTAAAATTGATGACTCAGAGGTAACTGCCATATATTCTCTGCTACAAAAATAAATAAATACCATTCCTTTTCTTTTGAAGTTGCCATGCCACAAGTAAAGAGGAACTAAATTGTGAACTCCTACTTTATTATAAATTAAAAGTACATTCATTCTTCACGGAGGCCCAGCTAGAAGTCATTTCAGGCTCATAAAGGAAGAATAATGTCACTCCAGGATTCCCCAGCAGTGTTATGCATTAATATGTTTATTCAAACAAGTCTGTCCAGCTGTCAGACACAGCCCAAGCGAGGGCTCTCTCAGTGGAACTTTCTCACATTACAAAGGAGAACATTCTACATCAAAAAGGGGCCTGTTCCCTCCCATTTGCCTTTCTGTCTTCACCCTTCCCAATATGCAACTTGTATGTAGGCCTTCCAAGAAAAGAAGTGAACTCAACTGAATGGTTAGTTGAGAGTCAGTGAGGCTTGGAGATGAAAATTGCATTAAATGTTTGCTACTGCTGAGAAATTTCCCTCTGATACTCTCAGTCAGTCTTGGACAGAAATGAAGCACTCTTGTCAAAAGACTGAAGGAGGACACCAAATCTGTTCAAAGAGCTTTTTGCCCACCCAGTGCACAGCTCCCAGTGTTCCCAGCATGAAACCACAACAGCTGACCGGCAAAAGATCAACACTGAGCACACAAAAACGTGCTTCAAGATCTGAAACTAACACTCCACTGCTTTTAGGAAACCACAAGTAAAAGCTGAGTACCAGTTTCAAGCTCTCCCCTTTGCTGTACTTTGCTACTTCAGCTGAAACTTTTCTTTTACTTCTCCAATAATCTGTTTGTAAGGGAGGCGAGAGGCGACTCTCTGAACATGAGAATTGGAAGGCTCCATCACAGGCACTCTGCAATTTTTATTCTGTCCTGGTTTGCAAAGCATTTCAAAGCATCTTTTATGTGAATATATTTCTTCTCTATGAAAACTCCAGCTCTGCAGGGAGCTGCACTGATCAGGAGCTTCTCAAGGCATCGCTGTGTCTCGGAATACAAAGAGCTGCAGCCCGAGCAGGGCTGCTTCAGGCAGTGATTGAATATGTAAAGGTTTAAAAAGCTTCACAGCTGTACTTTCTAACACAAATATTTGTATGTTCTCTGTTTGGAACAAACGCAGAAGTGGTAAAACATTTCATCTGGCTCACAAGCCAGCAGTGCAAGTTGTCCTCCCTGGGCTCTCGGGAGGTTTTCAGCCTGGCCTCAACGCCCCGTGCTGTGTGAGAAAGGTCTGGATGATGGAGCTCTGCCCATCTGCTTGGCAGAGAGCCTGGCCATCCTCCAAGTTATCTTACTGGGGCACCCCAAACCTCTTTGCATCGGGGTGAGAAGCACTTTCCTTCAGCCTTCCCCAGCACCACTGGTGACTAAAGCTGGTCCAGCCTCTGTGGTCAGAATTCCCATCACAGAGCTGGGCTGCCACAGAAACTTCCAGGTAGATTTCAGCTTCTCTAGGGCAGGGAATTTTGGAAAGAAAATCTGGTTGATACCATTTTCTCCTTTGAAAAGGGAAGGGGTGGGATTTTCTTCCATTTACCTGTGTTGAAAACCACTTTGATATGAAAACACAAATTTAAAGATTACTTTTCGTAGGTTCAAGAATGCATGAACAAGATTTTTCCTCTTGCTGTGGCAGGGTCAGTTGCCAAAAAGTAGCAAGAAGGCCTTGTGCAGTATAAAAGGAAATAGTTCTTTATATTTATTTCCCTGACTTTCTTTTCTGCATGAAACCTATTTATGGGATAACAAAAAAAGGGGACCCTGCTGGTCAGGTATGGCAGAGGTCAGCACAGGAAAAAAACCACCACATCTTACAGAAAGAGGGAGAAGGACAGAGCACTTGCCATGCAAGCTGTGGATGAGGCTTTCTGAGTGACTGAACTATTTTTACCCATCTGTCACTTCAGATCTCTACTGCTCATCTCTGTCTTGTTAGAGAAAGGACTCTGATTTTTATAAATTTGCAGGCAGGCCATAATTCTAAATCAGCAGTACAATAATTCAATAATCCTCTGCAAATGAAGGATCTTCTGAGCTTAGAGAGGTTAATTTACTATTATCACTTGCTCCTAATTCATTATGACGAGTAGTTGCAGGTATAATGTCACAGGGCACGTTCATTTCTTCTTGTCTTGCTGCAAATGCCAGATGGATTTCAGCAACCAGCTCTGTGAGCCCTCCTTGGCTCTGCATTTGATGAGGAGCCAATAATCTTTCAGACACTTCTCTTGCACAGACTATTTTGAAAGAGCATCCAAATCCTCCTTTGAACATCTCTCAAAATGTCACTTTTACCTGATCTGAAGAAGCAGATTTGAATTATCTGCGAGTGTAAAAATGCTCATAGACAGAATTTTCACATTTCTCATACTGACCCAGCCCCAACACTCCCACACTCTGTGGGCAGCACCTCTGCCTGCCAGCTGCAGGTGTGGAACAACCTCAGTGTGTCCCTTCCACTGCCCAGGAATTCAGCCCCTGAGACAAAACTGTAAGAAATGGCAAGCCCTGTGGCATTGCAAACACAGGAACTTACACCTTTAAAGCTCTCCAGGCCCATATTAATTTTCCTCTGTTTAATTAATTCCTGGTACAATCACTCAAGCTGCCATAATACCTGTACTTGCAGGTGCCAGTTTTCTATTTTCCCCTTTCATGTATCTCTGCATTACACAGACTTGCCTCTGAATATGGAAAATAACCTTTGCTTTGAAGACTCTGGTGTTGATTCTTCAACTCCAACTGGAATTACACACTTTTATCTCTCAAATATTTCAAACCTTTATGATTATATTAAAACTTCACTCATGCAAAGACCCATAGAAAGCAGCTGCTCCTATGTTTAAGTTCATAAAATTATCATATTTGGGTAGCATCAAATCCACTTTCTCTCTTCCTACCAAAGACTAGAGGGATTGTACCCAAGAGTAAGTCTGTCAACTAATTACTCATAAAAATTCAGGTTCTGAACACCTGCTCTCTAAATTTTTTTCTGCTCTAGCTTTTTTTGCAGCTTTATTTCTGAGTGTCTTTTAAAACAACAGATACTCCTTTTCCATTCCAAAGAGATATTATTTAATTTTACCAGATGATTTATTACCTTCCAGTGTATCACAGGTGACATCTCAGATGGAACAATTTTAATACAAACCCATACTTTATTATTAATGATGATACCCTTTATAGTTGTGCACTGTTGGAAACAGTGGAAACAACCTATTTGATAGTCAAAACATGTGGTAAGTAGGAAAGAAAATAACACCTTGCTCCCTCCTGTCCTTCCACTCCAAGAGAGTTACACAGGATCTATTTAAGCAATGGCCAAAGTCACCTTATTTTTCTGTTTGTTTTTTGTGGGTTTTTTTTAACATTATAATTTTTTTATTTTTCACTGCCAGTATGGCAGGCAGAGCCACAGCATAAATTTCCTGCCATGCCTTCAAATCAATAAAATATATAAAAAGCAGTCCTGAAGGTAATGAAACTTTTTTGTTAAAGTATGCAGGGAATATGGGATTCCAGGCCTGAATGAAGCTCAATCCAGAAATTCCCACCTCACCCCAAGGCTAAATGCAGCATAAACCCACTGACTGCAGTGGCATCCTGGAGGATCAGCTGAGATCAGAACTGAATCCACTTTGTCTCATCTTTCTTCTGCAGAATCTCCATCTCCTCTCTAGAAAGCTCCAAAGCTTTGGAAATCTGAAGAAAACCCCGCTATTAAAGCATTGTGTTCAAACCTTTAAGTAACAAAAGAGGGGGGAGAAAGCACAGCAGTTCACCATGGATACTATTGATTGAAACCACTTAAATACCAGCTGAAATGTCACTGACATTTACAGCTACGCTTCTTTAGGGGGAAAAAAAAAAGAAATTACACATGTTGACAAGTAAATAACATGAGATTGCTGATCTTGGCAGCTGTCAGCTAGACACACCAATAAATTATTCATATCAGCTTGTTTTATTGCCTTGCCCCTTCCAAATGGCACAGGAACAGAGATGTCAGAAATAAGGAGCTGTGTTACCAGGACTTTTCCTGTGGAATGGCAGGTCCAGGCACAGATGTAGGGGGCAGGGTCTGCCCTGGGGCTGGGACACCCCTGGATCCCACTGTGTCCCTTTGCCTGCTCCCTTTTCCCTCTGCACCAGAGCCCAGATCTGCCTCTGTCCTGCCTGGCCTGAGGAGTGGGACCTTGCCAAGCCTCGCTCACTCCCCTCACCTGAGGAAGTAAAAACACAGCTCCAGATTCTTTCACATCTCTGTCTGCACAGCAAAATCCTTCCTCCCCATGGCAGCATCCTCAGGACCAGCACAGCAGTCACAATAAGTTGGTTAAACGCGTTAAACCCCCTCGGGATATCCCTCAGGAGCAGGAAGGCAGGACTGAAAGATGCCACAGGGATGGTCCAGGAGCATCCCACAGCCTGGGGGTATCTCCATGGGGTTTACAGCCCTTCCTGCCAACCAGTGTCACACAGCAGTGGCAAACACACCATTCAAAAAAAAAAATAACCCTCAGGAAATCCTTGTGGGAAAAAAAGCATAGAGGAAGAACATCCATTTTTAAGATGGGTTAAATGTCCCTGATATTAACAAGACCACCATGACCTGCTGAAACCAAACAGTTGCAAGATACTGAAATGCTTATTATGTTTCTATTACCAATTCCAAATGCTTTGCTGACAATATATTGATCTTCAGTCACACTTTTGAGAAATTTATTATATGACTTCATGAAAATTATACCATTTAAAGTAATGAAGTATTATAGTTTTTTTTCTGAAAAGCCAGAGAATTTACCCTGCTTATTAGGAAATATGTATCAGCTGTGACAAATATTGAAATCATACTTTTTAAGTATTTTAGCCTTTGAAGTCTTACCACTACATGAAATATAGGTAATTTTTCTTCCTTAAGATCAATAAAAGGTCTATTTTCAAAATGACTTCCTATTGATTGAAGGGTCAAAAATGTCCCAGGTATTGATTGTCTGCATATAATCACGTTTTGCTCAGTAAGTTAACCTCGTCTACAAGTGAAATGAAAAGACATCCACTATATCACTTAAGCAAAATATTTTCATTGCATTTGAAAAATTGCTTCCATCAGTCACCAGTGTCTCACTGACAATGTATTTTCCTTTTCTTTTTTTAAACCTCAGGAAGTGGATTTACACAGAGTGAACAGCCAGGACAAGCTTGGCCTCACTGTCTGTTACAGAACAGATGATGAAGATGACATGGGTATTTATGTGAGTGAGGTAAGATTGAGCTGCTTTCCATAAGATACCATCTATTTGTCTTTTCAGCTGCACTGTTGAGCAGTTAAGGCATTCATCCTGTTTGTTCCATGTTGGATAAACAGCCAAAATGCAGTAATTGGAAGAAATCTAATTATTTTCCTTTTTTCCAAACTGAGTGCGCTCCTGCTCCCACTGAAGTCAAATTTCATTATATTAACAATGTTCTGTTTCTGATGGTGCCTTCAGAGTATTTTCATATATTCCCCCTTTAATTTTTATTCTTGATTATTCCTGAAACTATATAAATTATAAAAACACCCACATGCTTATATTTGCAAACATCTGGGGCCCATTTGTCTCTCTTTGTCCCTTTCCATGAAAAAAATAGCATTTTACACAGCAACATTTCTTCACCATGCAGAGCCACTTGAAATTAATTGCACCAGTTTGAGGAAAGAAACCCATAATTAAACCTAAAACCTTCCATTAAAATGCACCACCCAGGAAATTCGGGGAAGTAAATACCGATCTCCCAAACCTGCAGAACACTCAGAATTCTCTTGCTTTGCAGATCGACCCCAACAGCATCGCCGCGAAGGACGGGCGGCTCCGAGAAGGGGATCGCATTATCCAGGTACGTGTGGGGAGTGTCCAAAACCCCAGAATTTCCCTTCCTGCCCTCGTAACAAGGCTCTGCACGTGCAGTACAGGGGGATGGAGCAGCCTCACGTGTCCAAACTGGAACACTCGCCCAGCGGTTCTCCGCGCAAGGCTGGGGATGTGCGCATGGATCCATCCAGCCAAGCGTCTCCATGGAGCTCGGCACAGTAGCGCCCAGGTGGCCCTAGGAAAACACTTCAAAACACTTCATGGTGGTGTTTTTTTTCTTTAAAGATCAATGGCATCGAGGTGCAGAACCGAGAGGAAGCTGTGGCGCTTCTCTCCAGTGAGGAGAGCAAGAATATCTCCTTACTTGTGGCAAGACCGGAAATTCAGGTACGGCAGCAACAAAAAGCCCTCACTTGAGTCTTCATTAAAACAGTTGCTGTTTTGTAGAAAGAAGTTCTTTCAAATTGTTTTCCCTGTCTAAATCTACCAGATCTACCTAAAACCATATTATACACTTTGACTGCACATATATATATATGGTCTAAAATAATGGAATTCGGCAGTCACGGTACTTACATATATATTTTATATTAAAATTCAATTTCTAAGACACTTGGTGATTTATATGTGCTGCAATGCTATTACAAACATCAGTGCAAGGTATTATGAATGGTTTTGAGCCAGTTTTGAAGAACACACTGAACTCTAATTCCTATTGCTATTGATTATTCATTCATTAAAACACCTATTATTTAGCCCTTCACACACCGTCTCTTAAAGTACTTGAATACTGTCAAGAAGCCTCCTGAGCTGCAATAAAAGGTTGAACCAGATCCCTTTGTAGAGCAGGGATTAGCACAACAAAGGTGTTGAACAAACAGCCGGGAGCACCATTGTTTGATCTGTCTCTGCTCCAGTGCTGGGAGAGCAGCCCTTGCCAGTGCACCTGGAGACACGGGGTCAGGGTCATCACTGTTCTCTTAGCCTGGATATTTCTGATCATTCCCTTGGGGATAATCGGGAATGGGAGTAAAAATATCCTACAGACCCCAGCCAGTTTTCCTTCTGGCCCTTGATGCTGCCTCACAAGAGGCGTGTTTGAGCTTTGGGCTCTGGAGTGTTTTTATACATCCTAATCAAGTTGTGCACAAACCAAAACTACCTCAACTCTTAAAGTATTTCCACGGATCAAAAGACTGAGTTTTTCCATAGGTAGAGGGCTGTTGAAGATAAAAACCCTGCTCCTGGAGATGGAGGCAGCTGTGGGAGGAGGTGGCACAGTCAATACCCACACTTAGCACAGGGACAGGCTCCTTCCCAAGACACGTCAGCACTGTCACAGAAGGGAATCTCCTGAGATTTCCCAACCACTGTCCACAAAGAAAAGCCATAATTTATGTCAGTCTTCAGTCTTTTGACAACAATTGGTTTGTTTTTTCCCTCCCTTTCCACACAGCTGGATGAAGGATGGATGGATGATGACAGAAACGATTTTCTGGATGACTTGCACATGGATATGTTAGAGGAACAGCACCACCAGGCAATGCAATTTACTGCCAGCATGCTTCAGCAGGTACTGCCCTTCTGGTGTGCAGGGCTGTCAAACTTCCCACTGCACCCACTAGTCAATATTGAGCTTGGCTGAATACACTTGGTGTCTCTAGTGACACTGAGATCAAGGCAAAAGGGCTTTCTGTAAAATCAAGATATTACATGACTGTCCACAGCTTCATCTCAGGGACCAAGATGTTTTAAAATAGTACCTTTTGTGCTTTGCCCCTTTACAACGACACGATCACAATTCTTGGAAATCCCCTGTCACTGTGGTCACTGAGAGGAGTAACTGGGTGTGTGGTGGATAGAGCAGGCAGGGAGCTGATTTACAGAATCTCCTGTTTAATGTGCATGCACAGACTGGAAACAGCCTCCCAAAACCTGCAAACCCAAATGGACAACAAATGACTGAAGCAAGATCTATACAAGGGGAAAAAGGCAAAGAAAAAGTTTTTACATTACAAATTTTATGCAGGGCCATAGATACAGGCTTATGTTGTCCATCATTCTGCTATGATTAAAGCTCCTTCCCAGTTTTTGCCTAGATTTTTTTTCTAAAGTTTTCAAGAGCTCTACATCCTCTGTGGCATCCCCATGTTGTGAACAGTCAAAATGAGAGCAAAATGCTCTCATTTTGGCACTGCAGGAGAACTGGATAGCGTTGTGCACCTAAGTGGAAGAAACATTTTGAAAATGTGACTTCTACCACTGTTGCTGCATAGGTGAAAATCAGACCTCAGGTTCTTCTGAAAAGGACATCGACAGCAGGCTGTGGGCTTGGTCACCTTTTCTCTGAATTCTTAATAATAATCCTTCCATATAAGACTCAGAAAGCATAAAAAGTGATGGATTAGGAGAACTATTTAAAAATAAACATATGTCATGCACTTGCAATAATTTTTCTTTGTGTCCTGCTGTTTCTGTTGTTAGAAGAAGCATGAGGAGGATGGAGGCACCACAGACACAGCCACTATTTTGTCCAACCAGCACGAGAAGGACAGCGGCGTGGGGCGCACGGACGACAGCACGCGCAACGACGAGAGCTCCGAGCAGGAGAACAACGGGGACGATCACACTACCTCCTCCAACACTCTGGGGAGCCAGAAGAAGCTGACCTACAGCCACGACACCCTGGGAAGCGGGGACATGCAGTTCAGCAACGAGTCGTTCATCTCAGCCGACTGCACCGACGTCGACTTCCTCGGCATCCCTGTGGACGAGTGCGAGCGGTTCCGGGAGCTGCTGGAGCTGAAGTGCCAGGTGAAGTCTGCCAACCCCTACGGTCTGTACTACCACAACAGCACCCTGGAGATGAGCAAAAGCGACCAAGAGAGCGTCGACAGAGAGCTGGAGATGCTCAACGAGGAGCTGCGCAACATCGAGCTGGAGTGCCTCAACATCGTCAGGGCGCACAAAATGCAGCAGCTGAAGGAGCAGTACCGGGAGCCCTGGATGCTGCACAACAGCGGCTTCCGAAACTACAACACGAGCATCGACGTCCGCAGGCACGAGCTCTCGGACATCACCGAGCTGCCCGAGAAGTCCGACAAGGACAGCTCGAGTGCCTACAACACGGGCGAGAGCTGCCGGAGCACTCCGCTCACGCTGGAGATCTCCCCTGACAATTCCCTGCGCAGAACTGCAGAAGGCATTAACTGTCAAGGAAACGAGGGGGCAGTGGCGTATAATGTCTCCCAGAAGAATTTGTTTGCTGGCTCAGAGAGCCATGAATCCAGCGCTGGTAAATGCCACGCCTCCATTAAAGATCCTGACCTTGGCAAGCAGCTGGAGAGCAAGGAGAGGAAAGGCAGCGATGGCAGCAAAAGCCCAACTCACGGGCAGAAAGCCTCGGGCTCCTCCTACGTGTCCCCCTACCACCACTCTCCCTACAAACACGCTCACATCCCTGCCCACGCCCAGCACTACCAGAGCTACATGCAGCTGATCCAGCAGAAATCCGCCGTGGAATACGCACAGAGCCAGATGAGCCTGGTGAGTATGTGCAAGGACTTGGCCTCGGGCCAGAGCGAGCCCAGGATGGAGTGGAAGGTCAAGGTCAGGAGCGACGGGACGCGCTACATCACCAAGAGGCCGGTGAGGGACAGGCTGCTGAGGGAACGGGCCATAAAGATCAAGGAGGAGCGCAGTGGGATGACCACGGATGACGATGCCATCAGTGAGATGAAGATGGGCCGGTACTGGAGCAAGGAGGAGAGGAAGCAGCACCTGGTGAAAGCCAAGGAGCAGAGGAGGCGGCGGGAGTTCATGATGCAGAGCAGGTTAGAGTGCTTAAAGGAGCAGCAAGGTGCAGAGGAGAAGAAGGAGATGAACATCATTGAACTGAGCCACAAAAAAATGATGAAGAAGAGAAATAAAAAAATATTTGACAATTGGATGACAATCCAAGAACTGCTAACCCATGGAACAAAGTCACCGGACGGCACGCGGGTGTACAATTCCTTCCTGTCAGTGACTACTGTATAATCAATCCCCAGTGCTAAATTATGTACATAAAACACTACCAGTGGGGTAGGAATCAATGCCTCGTTCAATGTGGCAAGAGTTTTGTATATAAGATACAGTCACCGAGTTTATAGTTCGAATACTGAACTCTACGACCGTGGGTGCCAGGATCTCCATTCTGCAGTGGAGAGGAAGCTTGCCCATCTCCTTCAAAGGCAATATTAGCAGTGCTTTTTGGAACACTGACTGTACTTTTTTTACTTGTTCCCTTTTACATGAAGTGTCTAAATATCAGAAATGTATTAACCATACTTACACAGGTAATTTGCTTAAACTATATTCATATTAAAAGGTACCCATGCTTTTCTTTACCTAAAAAAAGAATGCAAGAAACCCACAAGAACAACTGCACATATGTATTTTTATTTTATTTTTGTGAAACCATATTTTGTGATATTATTTTGCTGTTGTTCACTTCTACACCGAGTGCTGTTTATCAATACTTAGCTCAAGGTTTAAACTCAGAATTAGAATCATTCTCTTGTAATATTTAACATTTATCAAACAGCAGTTTTTAGAGTTATGCTCAACATTTAAACATTTTTCTCTTTAAGGTTTCTGAAGAAAGTATAGAGGTTTCATCTGAAAAGCCTGAGGCAAAGTAGACTATTATGCAGCTTTAAAGGATTTTAAAGCATGTTTGCAAATGTTGCAACCTATTGAAGAAACGTGCATGTACAGCTAATTTGTTTATATAAGACAGTTTGTGGAATTTGAAAAGCCCATGGTAGTAACTGTTTGCTTTATAGATTTGAATGTATTGAATTATAAAAGCAGTTTCATGAAATCATCATTAGCTACAAACGTTAACAAGTAAAATGAAGTAAAATAAATTATTGTTTTATATTTCAAACTACCTTAAATTCTTTTTATTCCCTTCTGGTTTCACCACCTAGAATATAATTTTATGCAGTATAGCTCTTGTGCTGCAGAAATGCCTGGACAGCCACTGGAGCCAAACCTGAGGGAATAATTGGTGTCCTGACTTTGGGGGGAATTTGGATTGAGGTTTTTGTGAGGGAAGAGGCAAGGGAGAAGCACAAAGAATATCAAGAGTAAAATCAACAATGTTTATCTTCAGCTCACAAGGTGTTTAAGGTGACTTGTAAGAAAGAAATAGAATTTCTGCTCTCCTGCTTTGCTTTGTGGTTTCTTAGTGGTATATAAACCCCACCTACAGCCTTCAGTTTGCATTAAAACCAGACAATATATAAATTAATGCATATAAAAACTAAAGCAAATAAATATACAAATTAAAGGAGATGGTGAAAAAATAACGGAGCTGTCAATAAGATATCACATTCCTCTTTGTGTTTTCTATTTCTGATTAAGAATTCAGATATAAATTGGAATATTCTTCTGGATTAAGTGATGTAGGTTCATAATTAATAGCTCCCAGATTCTCCATCCCCTCTCCCTTTTTCCTTGAAAACTTAATCCCAGACCTTCTAAGTTTTCATTCTGGACTTTTCTGTCATAACTCAAATGAGCAAGAATTGCAATCCTAGTGACAGAAGTGCAAAGTTGGAAGGGGAGAGATTAACAGCTTCTTGTGCCTATTTTTTCTGTCATGGAGAAGCAAACAGCAGATTTGTCCATGTTTTTTTTCTGCTCCCTCTGTGGACTAGCACTGAATTCCATGGAATGTGCCTGCCACACTCCACAGTGAGCTTCTGTATACCTGGAAATTCCCCTTCAGCCTGTGTAATCTGGCAACCTTGTCAGTAAGCCTCTGCAAATTTATCTTCAAACCATTATTTTCCTTCAGGATAAAGAGCTAGTCCTACTGTAGTCTGTGAGAGGTTTCTCTGTTGACTTTGTCAGAGCTGGGATTTCTCCTGACGTGCACCAGCTGTTACCATCACCAGTGGTACAGTGGGGAAAACACCAGATTTTTTGCACACTTTTTTCAGTGTAAGGCATTTTCCCATCTCTGTCTCAAATCTGCTTCACCCTGAGTCCATGTTCTGTTCATCCCAACTGCAGGTGTGAGAGCCACAGCAAAATCCTGCCCCTCCTCAAGCCCACACACTCAAATGTGCAGAGCTGTGAGTAGTGTGCAGCAACAATCCTTAAACCAGGCATGAGAAGACAGCTCAGCCTCCTTTTGTCTGCCTGGAAATATTAGAGTAAGATTTGAAATGTTCTAATGAGGAATAATTATTATCAAGCTGCTCAAAAAAAAAAAAAAAACAGACTCCTTTGGAATAACCTCACATGCAGGGGTTCCTTTGGGCACCAGTGACATCAATGCTGAGCATTCTGTGCATTGGGTAGCAGCAGGAATATGTTTGGGAATTCGGTGTGGTATGCAGGAATTATAACAAAGCATCCACAGTATAAAATTTACATTCGTTAAGATGTTGAAATAAAATTATTGGCCAAGAGTTATTCTCACAGCTTTGAGTTTTTCTTCAATAAGTACTTGCTATTTTGGACAGTTAAAAATCACCTCTCTCCTTTAGCACTAGGATTTATTAATTAGCATCAGTTCACAGAATCCACCAGTTATCCTGGAAATCTGAACAAAAGCTTTTGCAAAACACAGATTTTCCTTCTTCAGTTGTCATCCCACTTCTCATTGCCCTATCAAAGAACTTAATGAGGTGTTGAAAAGGGAGATTTGGGGTCTTTTTACTACTTGCAAGGAAACATTGGAAATTACCATAAAATTAATCCAAACCTGACATTACAGAGCAAAGAATCCAGCTAAAAGCAACCCTGGATACCTAAGAGGAAATATTTCATCCAAAAGTTTTTCTAAAAATGACATTGTAGTACATACCCCAGTGCTTAAAAGATAACACTGGAAATTGTGCTGATATCTAAAGGATATCTCCAGAAATCTCCAGGCTGCAGCAGAGGTTTTGTCCCCTGGGTTACCACAGGTTGTACCCAAAACCCAGCACCCTCCACCAGGGCTACTCCTGTGGGGCAGCGTGGTGGCTTGGTCCTGGTGGACACAGCTTCAGATACTCAGAGTCCTGCAGGGATCAGCACTGGGGGATGTGCTGGGATTCCACTGGGGACGTTCATTCCAAGTGGTTTTTGAAGTTCTTTTAAACCTGGTCCTGGAGATTGTCCCACAGCCCTTGCACATTCCTGCTGCTCCTTGTCCCTGCTCCTGCCATGGCAACACCCCGGTCCCCATCCCTGGGCAGCTCCATCCCAGCAGAGGTGACCAGGGGACACCCTGGGTACAGGCTGGTGCAGAATTTGCCTGCCTCTCTGCAATGCAAACAGGCTCTGTGTCAAACTGGGGTCAGCTTCCCTGAATTGCACACTGTCTCCCAGATGTAAAAAATCTATAAAAATGTAAAATACTTATTTGCAAATAGGGTTTAAAGCGGCATGGAATCGCCCGGTTTAGATGTGCACTGAAATGGGAAAGCCCTGAACCAAACCTAACAGCATTTTTTTGTAAATTAAGAGATCTTGCACAGTAGGGATGGCAAATAAAATGAGGTAAGACTACATATTGCCTAGGGACTACTGGTTGGAGAACTAATTAGGATTATAAACTGAAAGTATGTAAATTAACCAAATATAATTATCTGCTAGTGGCCTTTGGAAATAGGTTACTGGATACTTGTTAGCAAAATTGCTCAAATGCCTGGAAGCCATACAAAGCAAGCCATAAGCAATTTAAATTCCTCTCTTTGTTTTATTTTCAATTGTTTTAAAGCAGTTTTTGTATTAAGGATTTATTGGAACATAAACTAATCAGAAAACTCAAAAACCAAAAGTGAGACAGAGACTGACACAGCAGAGGCTGCACCTCCATCCCAAGGCCCTTGCTTTTGTTGAATGTGAATTGTTTGATGTGACAAAATAGCAAAGATTCTGCTTGGGGTTTCACCAGAACAGCTCTGTGAGCTGCCAGCCAGAGTTCAGCTGGGAGAGTGGAGGTTTCTGCACGAGTTCAGCACCTCAGCCACGCGAGGTTTGTGTGGAGATGTGCTCCCTGCTTGAGTGCAAAAGTGCAGAATTATCCTCCCTTTTCTCCAGGTGTCTGTCATGGCACAAAGCAGCAGCTTCAGGGGTTTCTGGGGGAGATCTCACCACCAGATCATGTCAGGAACACAGGACTGGCCACTGGAGGAGCTGAGGGTGGTGGAGACAGTGCTATGTATTTAACATTATAAAATATAAGGGGTCACATCTAAAGGGGCTGATTTCATGCTGAAGCATGAGGGCTTTAATGCACAGGCCTGCCACAAAGCCCACTTATGTGAGCTGAACGACTCCAAGCAGTCCCAGGGGATTTAAAGCACTCTATTAACTTACACAGTTAATTACCCTGCACTGTGCCAGTGAGGTATGTGAAGGGACAAGCCATCACAGCACTACTGCATTTCCTGCTGCTCACCACACCTCCCACAGACCTTCTCATGGTCACTGCTTTAAAAAACCCATCCTGCAGCCCTGCTAAAATAAAACACTGCCACCCCAACCTGTGCCCTCCTCCAGAAGCTCACGGGGTTCTGTGTCCCAGCTCATGCTGAAAAATGAATTGTGCAGCTGCTGCAGGACTGACTGTAGTAGGTTCACAGTCAGCAAGCATTGCTATGTGTTCTTGGGTCTAAAGCTTCTTGCTGGAATCCTGAAATACCCAGAAACATCCTCATTTCTACAGCATAACAAATGCAATTGCCTACTCTGAGAATTTGGTAGAGAACAAAACCCGGATTTAATTTAAAAGCCTGATGTCTGTTCTACTGGAGTCAATCTGCCTGTTTTGGATGCTGGGAATTAAAACTTTACCTGCTTTCTTTTACTTAAATTTGCACATCAGCATCATGGATCTCAGTGCATAATTGCAATGCTTTTTACTCATCAAAATGAGAACAAGGTTCTACCAGTTTCCTATGAAAAACTGTCATCTTCTGACACAGAATGTTTCTTAGAGGAGATTTAATCAAATCAATTAATAATGACTTGGCAACAATGCTCCAATTAGGGTTTTAATTTACAAAAGTATAATGCCAATAGCATATAAAAAAAAAAAATAAAATCAGTGGAGCCAAATCAGCGGAGCCAGTGCCCAAATAAACATCTGGGCTGATATTATTTCTCCCTTCTATGCAAAATCAAAGTAATTTCAAAAAGATAACTACATTTCTCCAAAATCTTCTTCAATCACCTCTAAGACTAATCAAGTTAAAGCAAGCCCAAACAGCCCATTCCTAATTCTCCCAGCAGATGATGCTGGCTTTAGGTCGCATTTCCTGCACCCTGCTCACATCTCTCTCCCCCTTCTGGGAAAACTGAGCCAGCTAAGCCAGAAGGGGATCAGAAAGAATAATCCCCACAGTCTTCCAGAGTTGGGTGTGGGCCCAGCTATGACTGGGGATCAATTACATGTGCAGGAAATCACATACATAACACACAGAACAAGTGCCAAGTCTGCCTCTGTTATGCGTTTTGATTTTGTGTTTTGTTCTTCAGGACCAAAAAAGGAGTTGGTCCATCTCATACACGATATGAGAAGCACATAATATCCCCAAAGGACTGAAAATGTCTTCATTTCCACAGCATGAACAGATTAAATGCTTGCTCTGGAAGCCAGGAGGTTCTGTTATAAAGCACAAGGCTAAAGAAAGGCCCAGCAACAAAGGCTGGGCTGGAGCTGCTGACAAATCCTGACCTGCACAAGTGCAAAGAGGCACCACAGCTTGTGTGGCTGGGCCAGGGACTGCTCCTCTGGCCAGGACACAACACTTGGGCTGTCCTTTCAAATCAGTTTGCCAGGGAGGAGCTTTAAAGGTAATTTCTTTGACAATCCATCCTTTTTATGTGAAGCAACTGCAGGACCATGCTACGGGGAGCCCCATTAGCCGAGAATAAGAACTT